TAGACCATTGACCTCGCATCTTTACAAAGCCGGGACGGAGCACGCCGGGTTCTCACCGGACTATGCTCGCGCGGGGGGGGGGGGGGGGACTATTCCGAGAAATGGTTCCCGATAAATGCTCCTCGTTCTACGCAACATACAGCGTCCAGTAGCGCTATTTTCTGCATCATCCTAAGTTTGTTTTTCGTTGCTCAATCACATACGAAGGTGTTATAAAGCCCCAGCGACGCTGTGGCTGCCTCATTCTCTGCAGGTTCTACCCCCTTTGTTCCTCTCCACCCGTTCGCCCCTCTTTCGTCGAAAGGTGTTTGCTTATTCTCTCTCCTCTCTCTGCGCTCATCAGCTCCATTCACTGACTGACGGAGTCCCGACTTTGCAATCTTCCTCTCTTTGCTACGGTCTAATACTTCCCGTCATACCTTCCCCACCTGAAAATGATGTTCGTCACGAATTCTTGGGACGGAACGAGTTTCTGGTCGATCACTCGGAATCACCAAGCTCGACCAGTCAGTGGAGATTTGGTACTACCCTGTGCAAACTGGACAGCAGTCCAAACAAACTCTCAAGGTCCTCTAGCAGACACAAACGATAAAACATGTAGGATAGCTCGACGCGTTTTGGCTAGGGTACGTAGGGTGATTTCATGGTATGGATATACTCTCGTGCTTCGACCAACGTCAAGCTACTTCACGTCCCGCCTTGGCTTGTTTGATGCTTGTCATTGGGTGCATACGTTCCTGGGGATGAGAGGGGTATGCACAACATGAGAGGACACCATGACTCGATCATGTGCCGACCACGCGAGGCTTGTAACCTGTATGTACAGCTCCGGTTACATGCTGCCATGGCGTTTGTGGCACGGTTAAGGCAAACAGACAGTGAAATTATCTCGAATATTCCTCACACAGATGCCCAGGCTGCCTTCTTCTGGTTTTCGAGTTGGAAATACGCCCTCACAAGCCACACCAAACCCGAACATGGAGAGAGTCATTCTTGTTGCATACTTCATAGTACTGTACTCCGACAAAAATGCATGTCCATTTATTCCTGAAACACGCAGACAACCACGAACGTGCCACCTCCTGCATATGGTGGTGACTGTCAGATCACAATTTTCGTTGTAGTTAAACAGCTGAAATTTTATTTTTCGCCCAACGGAGAGAGCCTGTTTAACTTTTAACAATGTTTAGAGAACCTGGATGTAGAACACGCCGCAGTACGACACCCAAGGCGCTCGAAACCACACAAGCGGTGTCGGAGTCTTTAAAGACCTCGTATTCAGTATGCAGTTGCGACCTCAGAAAAGCGGGACCCCACCTGACCATGGAGAGCCTTGTGCAAAGGTAAATCGGGGCTTCTCAGGTTAGTTCACGTTTGCACCTTGCCGCAACAAGGACAGAGCGTCGCAAAACTGTGGATAGTGAAGCATCACTGCAGCAGGGGGGGTCAAGGATGGCCACAACACAGATGGGCATTCTGCGCGTGCAAGCAAGGTGTGGCCAGAAAAACTGGGGGGGGGGGGGGCATCACGGTAAATAGAACGACACTGCGCCGTGTTCCCTGTGAAGGCCACATTTTAATACACACGACATGCTTCTCCCCGATAACTCTGTCGTTGACCCAGTAAAGACCTACAGGAGATGTGTTATAGAGTGTATCCACCTATACAGATTATTTTGTTCTTAGCACCAGCTGGTATCACTGATATGATTCAGTGTACAGGGTTCAAGAAACTCAAAATAAACCCCGTTTCCAGCCCTCCATTCACTGAAAAGACTTCAGCACATCCCTTTCGACTGTGGCTATATCTCGAACGGGTAGCCTTTCTATGAGACTATGTTTTCTTTCTAAAAATTCATCATGCTTTTGCGCCCGGCACTTTGCCCTAAAAAAAATGCACACAATGTATTTTAGATTTTTCAGGTTTGGGGACGCAATATGTTGATCAACGTGTCTCGTGAATTTCTTGCGAATTACTCACGTCGTTGTTGCAAGCTTTCAGAGGACTCGGGGAGTGATCCTCTGCCTCGCCAACGCCGAAAAAAACACCACACCGCACAGGCGAGGTCGCCAACGCATCATCCAAACAACCTTGTGCTACATAACCGAGCGAATGACTGATGACCAAGCCATGTGTACCAACCGCAGGGAAAGACTGCTCCTATCTCGTGCTCAACCACGATTATCAACAGGTCCAAGTGTGCCGAAACCCAGAGACGTTACCAGGCTTGCGAATGCACACCCATTCACCTCTGTCTCCACGCCAGAACAGTTGGGATTCCCTGTGACAATCTTGGGTATTCTGGTAGACACCTTGAACGAAAATATCGCAGTTACTGCCATCGAGGCCGTGCGCTCAAACCAAACGCTGTGAGGATGCCCTGCGACAACTTTTGGGTATTGTGGTACACACCCCCAACGAAAATATCGCAGCTGCTGCCGTCGAGGCCGTGCACCCTGACGAAACGCTGTCCTACACGATCTGCAGCACCTGTGGATGCTACACAACGAACCTCCTCCAAGTCTCGATTACCCCCCTGCGATATCACCAGTGATGTCACTCACCCCGTCGAGACACGATGGTACCGATGATATTGTGCCCAACTGAATCCTGACCTAATGTTTCGCCCCTCCTCGAGAACTACAACCTTCAACGGATTGGCGCAGTCCGCACCACATACTCGCCTCGTGTCCCATGACTGTCGTCTCCTCTGCACCAGAGGATGACGAAAGATTCTATACGGTCATCAAATGTGACAAACCTCCTGCGAAGGAACAACATCTGCCGACCAGCTTCAACACGTGCGACGATTTCCTTCTTTATTTGGTGCTCTGCGCTTCTTCATCGGCTCGCGCATGTTCCGCAACTCGCAGGGAATCTTCACCCATGATTGTGGACAACCCTCCTCAAGGAACGTCGAATTCCTGGATAAGTGTGACAAAGAGCTGTCGGAAAGGTGACGTTTACTGACCCCCCTGCATCGCATCACACGTCTCTACGGGGTATCTCGAACGTTAAGTCTGAGAATTGTGCGCACTCTCCCACTTCAGCAGCCTCACATACTACCTACCCACCCAACACAACCCTGCCAGAAATTTTCCGGTGCTCCTTCGCGACAAACATCCGAGATCAACGCACGCCGGGATGACGTTGCTTCATTCCTGCGAACACCCTTCCTCGAAACCTAACTTCCGCTCGTCCCTCCGAACTCCTAGTAGGGTCCCGTCAGGCCTTTCGATCCCTTGACGGGTCGGAAAAAAATCTGCATATTTCTCGAGTTATTGCGACGCCTCTGCCCCCGATCCAGACAACTTTACGCCGGACCGGTGGTGGTGAAGGCCGTCACCGGGGTTTTTCAAGTCTCCGAAAGGACAACCCATGAGCATTGGAGTCTTTCCCTTCAACTGCGTGACCGGGCGTTTTTGACGGCGTGCTCTGCCCACTCCTAGGCGAGCTGTGATTGGCGGTCGCCAACACGCTCGTCAAGTCTCGGGAGTCCTTTCCGTAAGGGTTTTCTCCAGGAACCGAACTGGAACCTGCCGAACAGCTATAAAGGCTAAGGTTGTTGTCGTGGACGGAACAGGAATACGTCGATTGTACCGGAAAGACTACTGTAGTGCAAAAATGCAAACTTTTTGAAAACGGGGTTACGAAGAGCAGACCTTGCGTACTCCCTTCAGGACACTATTGGAAACAGAAAATACGTCGTAGTCGTTGGTCACTACGCCTGAGAGCGCGAGAGGGGACAATGCCGTTCTTGAGCACGTCGAAGGATTGAGGCTCTGGCCAACATACGTACATAAGTGGCCACAAAGTAGTGTCGTTTACCGCCCACCCATCCCCCTTTCGAAGATAGGTGGCGGAAAATGATTTCCCTTGGTTTCTAGAGTTTTCCGTGGGGTGGTGGAGTGTAGTTGAATGATCGAGTACCATTTGGAGATTTGGTCGTTCCAGCCCCCTGCGTGAAGAAGCATACTACTCGGATTTCCCCGGCTGGATACAGCTGACTTGTGAGCAGAGAGAGAGATGGTTTTGGAGGGAATCAGGCGCGAGACCTGCGTCTTTCTAGCGCTGGTTCCTGCCGCCCCCCCCCCCCCCTCTCTCTCTCGATCCCTGGTGATCTAGAAACCGAGAAGTGAAGCAACTCGGAAGAAATGGTCGAATGCAACCCTTCGGTGTTTTGCCCACACATTAATTTCCCTTCTCCGAGCACACAAGTGGACGTTGCAGCTATATCATCGCAATGGTGAAACATTGTTGTGGGTTCACCCATCAAAACGTAATATCAACAAGATTCGGCAACAACAACAGCACGGCAGGGCACGAGCTGCACCAAACAGCAAACACTGGCAACGAGAACAACAGTCACAAATACTCACACACACACAGAATAAACAACCGACTACATCCAAGTTAAAACAACGATGCGGGCTTCGAAGCGATAGGCCGATGCTGACAGCAACGTCGACAACGACAGCACAAGCAACACCAACAACATCAGAGGCGCTCTTTCGCTTCCTCAAGGAACCTGCGACCAGATACTTTGTGTCGCCGACCGTATCAGCACCCACCATCCGTCCGCGCTTCTCATGCACCACATCATCGCTGGAGGTGGGATCATACACACAGCTGGTCAGCACGCGTTCGTTGAGGTAGAGTCTAACACACGAGCATTACTCCACCCCTAACGAACGTGTTGTGCGAGAAGGGCGTCCAGAAAGTGGGTACTGATGGCGTTTTTGGCGCCACATAGAATCTGACCGAAGCAGCTTCATACTCTCGGAGCTTCTTGGATCCACCGATTACTGTGTAGTGCGGAGCTTCCCAGGATCGGCGAGTCGGGCGTGAGAATTCATGGCTTTTGCAAGCAGAGGCGATCGAAGAGCCGGGACCAAACAAACAAACCAGAAGGAGGCCAGATTCTCATCCGAAGCACAAAAAGGGTAAATTTTCGACCTTTGCCAACGTCACGCACCCCCTCAAGGATATTGGGGCAATGAGTGGAAACGTTTACCAAAGTGGGAAACACTCCTCCGATGTATTCTCTCACAGTGTACTTCCTCCGAATCTTCGAATTTATCTCCCTCTTGCACAAAGTGTTGCAAAGGTTTTTACGAGGAACACCCATAGACTGGACGACTTTGCTGTACCTAGACCAGACTATTTTTGTTTGGACTATGTTGCACGAACATGTTGCCACGAACGAACATGTTGCAGCACGCTGCAACGTGAGGTTACGATTTATTATCTTCAAAGGGCTTCCTTTCTCCTCCAGCTGATGACACGTCACCACTGAAGGTGGAGCGCGCTTTGATCCCCATCAACATCCGTCCCTCCATCTGACCCGGCCCTATGCCGGCGGCGAACGAAAAGATCTGATGCCATGATGCGCATGTTCATGAGCGCGAGAGGGTACCCGCAGACAAGATCTCTGCAATATTCAACCACAGGTGGCACCGATCTTGTCCCCGGAGCCCCCCAGCATTGTTCACCCTCTGTCTGGGCTGGGCCGGCTCCCGGAGCTGTCGCCCGTTGTTCAAACCGGTGTAGGCTAAGGCAGGGGGGCACCTACCCAAGGGGCGCGTAAGCATCTTCTACTAGAAAACCCTTGCTGTCGGTGTCGCCGGTCTCCACTCCCCTTACGCCCTCTGTCCTCCGAAAAGCTCGGCTGCAAGGATGCCGAGAAAGGCGAAGCCCACTAAACACTCCTCAGCGGAGCTCAACAAGCGGGCAGCCGCCTCATTGGTAAGTAAGTGTGTTTGGTTTGGGTACATGCACATCTCGACCCCGGATTGATTTGTCGCTGGTTGGTCGTCTCTCCTCCCTTGGTCTGCCTTCGTCGGAGCTGCTGCTGGTGTTGCCATGAACGAGAGGTTTTATCCTAGGTGGACGTGTCTCTGCTGCAAGTGCAGCGGCCAACGATGGGATGGACTGCTGTGAATGACTGAACCTCCCGCCCCGCCAGCAGCACTTGAACTAGAACTTGACCGACCCACACACATACGTTGCTCGAGCGTCACGAGCGAGTCGATGGCGCGGAAGGCGTATCTCTCTCCAAGCCCCCTTGCGTTTGGAATTTTAACACACACGAGGGCGGGCGGGGTTTGTTGGCACAAAGTGCCTGCTGCACACGGCGCACCGCACGGCGGTGGACACGATTTCGCCGCTGCGAGAATGTTCCGGCCTCTAATTGCGAACAAGTCGGCGCCGCTGGTAGCGCTCTCTGCTACCTACCTGATACAGCCCTGTTCATCCCATGGGCATCGCAACTGTAGTCGGCGTTGATTGGTTTGTCGAGAAACCTGACAGCTACACGGCACAGCGGACACGTGTGCCTTCCTCCTTTCATGTCTCGGCGCTGTCTCTTCTCCTAACTTGGAAGACAAGGGCTGTTGAGAGATGGGGTGAAAGCAACAGACAAGCATGCCTACACGGTTGGGGATGCGGCTAGATAGGACCATGGCCACCCGGCCGCAAGAGGGCTTTGTAATTTTCGACATCAGAGGCGACAGGCTCGAAGGTTGATCGGATATGGTATCCAATGCTCAACTTCTTTGGTACGCATTGTACATGCAGCTTCTCGATTTGGGCGAGTGTCAAGGTAGAGAAAACTCGAAAACTCGAAAACTCTCGTTGCCTCTCCTGCTGGTGCTTCGGAAATACTTCGAAGTACTTTGGTTTTTCTGCAAGAGCGCCTTGCCTCTCTTGTTCGTACATATGCATACGTACGCCGAGAGAGAAGTCTAGGCCGAGCTTGCTTGTATCCCTCCCTACCAGTGTCTTGGCGTCACCCGTGTTGCGGCCTACAAGTGTAGAAAAAAAGGATACCAATTGTCACTGGAGTGTGCTCATGGAGATCACAGCAGTGTCGTCAACGAGGGATGCAACTTGAAAATATAAGCATCACAGCTGACTGCCAGCCGCGGCGTGACGTTTCCCAAGCTCAGCAGCTCACACGGCTTGCGTGGTTTTTCACTCGAACAGCCCAGCGTGCCTCAACAAACCATCCAAGCAGATAAACAGCAAATCTATCTGTACCCAGCAGTCGTATTAGTAGCGGGTTCCCATACAACTGTATATCCTGGGACGCAACGTTCATGCGCGCCTAATTCAGGAAGGAACACGATCAATCTGCCAAACACTCCAGCTTGCAGCATAGAGTATCCGTCCAAGATTTCTCTGGTATGATATTCAATCGACGCTTGTGCTCACCGCCCACCACCGCTATTTTTTGCGCCCCCTTCACGACCGCGGGCACATCAGCAAAACAAGGGGGGAGGGTCGGCCGGGCTCGCGGACAGAAAAGGGGGCGCCGCGGGCCACTCTCGGTTCTTGTGCACAATCTGCGGTGTCCAGGCGCCTTCGCTCACCAGTATGAAGGTGTGTGTGTGTGTGTGTGTTGTTAGCATCGACCGCGCTAACCGGCCGGCCGATGACTAGACCGTCAGTCTTGTAGCGGGATATGAAGCACGCGAACACTTTCTATTCGATGGGTACAGTAAGGTTTCTGCGGACATGTGGTGGCGCAGGAGGTTTGTGCTTGTATGTGTGTGCGGTTTTTATTTTTATAACGTACATCTGCATGGGCGACGCTAACCGGTTGAACAATGAAAGGACGTCAGTGTCCGTGCGATTGAAAGCAGATCATGCTTGTCTGTGTATGTTGTGCCGCGTCCGTGTGGGTGTTTGGTTTGGCTCCGTCCTCGATCTCATTCCCCGTCCTCCTACAACGTGTTCCATTGCGGCGGTCCTGCCGGCGAGTCTCGGGTTATCAACATACCTTTTTTGCCGATGAGAACGCCATGCTCGAAAACGTTGTGTGCTTCCGTTGTGATAACGGTGGGGTCGGCGGTGAGCGGTCGGCCTACGTAGGCCATCCGAGCGCCGTCCCCGGTGTTAGCAAGTAGGCAGCCCTGATACTGAGGAGGGGGCAGAAGGGTTGAGAACACGTAGCTTCAGAGCGCGGCCCTTTCCACAGCCCTGCACAGCCCCTTTTAACCGCCATTTGGAACACACGAGACCATCCACTAGCACAGCAGCACAACAGATGGAAGGTCAACAAACCTCCGAAGCCAATCAGGGCAAGTGAAGAAAGCGCATGTCATTCTGTCGTGATTCGGGTTCGTACCAGCAGCCGTGCACTTGTGACACGTAGGCCCTCCCGGGACCGGGGCGAGAGCCTCCTGGTGTTGCATGATGGCGTTGCGCCTGGCGATGGCGGATCACGTCCACCCACCAAGTTGTGCACGGCTGCTGGAACGAACCCGAACCGCGACAGCCTGAACATGGGCTTTCTTCACTTGCGCCGCTGGGCTCCGGGGGTCTGTTCACCGCCCATCTGTCCTGCTGCTGTGCTAGTGGATGGTCTCGTGTGTTTCTTATCGCGGCTGCAAGGCTGTGCAGGGCTGTGAAAAAGGACCGCACTCTGAAGCTACGTTTTCTCAACCCTTGCATGTCCCCTCCTGAGTAACGCATTTTTCCAGCCGGTTCATGCATGTTTTTGTTCCGGTTCCGAGGGGTTTTTTTCCCAGGCTCGTAAGCGCGCGAGCATGGCTGGCTGACGTAGACGTGTGCGTACGGGCACGTTCTGGCTCACATTCAGACGAGAAGCGCACCCGGCTGTTCTATGGCCCCGATGTTGCTTGGCTCGGAAGCCCAAACCACGTATTCAGCATGGTTGCTGCAGCGGGAACCGTAAACCGTACCAACTGTAAATCTTGGGCAACACCAAGAATCACTGTCGTCCCACCATGCATCTTTCATTTCGTCGTCATTGGTACAAGCGCCGACTGCAACACTAACGCTGGCTTCAACGCGGTCCCCGGTACCTATGCCAGCCGCCAGTACGACCACTCCTGACTCTTGCGCTCTCGTGGTCGTACCCTACGACCTAACGTTTGTTTCTGTTCGCACGCTCTCCAATGTGCACACCGATCTTGTAAAGTTGTTTTCTCTCTGACGGCACCCTGTGTGTCGAACACATGCCATATGCTAGGACTCTTTCATGTGTCTGTTTTCATCTTGTTCCGTATTCGCGGCGCCTCTCTTGCCCCCCCCCCCCCCCCCCCCCCACCCCCAAACCCCCAAAAAAACAAAAAAAAAAAAACCCCCTCAAAACCCCCCCCCTTTAAAAAAAAACCAAACCAAAAAAAAAAAAAAAAAACAACGCCCACCCCCAAAAAAAAACAACAAAACCAAAAAAACCAAAACCCAAAAAAAAACATACCCAAAAAAAAAAAAACACAAAAAAAAACCACAAAAAAAAAAAAAAAAACCAAACAAAAAACAAAAAAAAAAAAAAACCAAAAACCCCCCAAAAATTTCTTTCTTTTTCAAAAAAATCCCCAAACCCCTAAAAAAAAAAAAACCCTTAATATTAATACCAAAAAAAAAAACCCAAAACCAAACCAAAAAAAA